TTTTTTCAAGAAAAAAGGATTGTAAATCAAAATTCTTGTACACATACACCTAAACAAAACAACATAGTTGAGCGAAAACATCAACATATTCTATGTGTGGAAAAAACCTTAAGAATTCAGGCTAATCTTCCTCTTACTTTCAGGATAGATTGTATTCTTCATTATGCATTTCTTATAAATTTAACACCTACACCAAATTTGAAAAATTTGACTCAATTTGAGATTTTGTTTCAAAAACAATCTACTTTAGATCATTTGAGAGTGTGTGGATGTTTGGATTTTGCTTCTGTCATGCCTAAACTTGGAACTAAAATGCATCATAGAGCTATTAAATCTATGTTTCTTGGTTACCCTAAAACATAAAATTGTTTAGGTTGTATGATTTGGAGAGTAGGAATATTTTTGTGTCGAGAGATGTGGTGTTTACAGAAGAAAAGTTTCCTTTTAAAGAAGGGTTTAATTGTTCTATTCCTTTTAGCATGGTACTGCCTACATATCATAATGACATATTACTTTAAGTTATTATTCGAGCAACCGAACCAAATCCTCGTAATGAAGTGACTATAGATAGTCCATCTATTAGTTTCCCAATTCAGGATTCTACCACAGCTTGTGAAAGAGCTCGAGATACTTCTTTAGAATTTGCTACTATTTCATCTGCAGATCCATTGCCACAAACAAATCGACATTATACAAATCAACCTACAGATCCGTTGTCACTTCAACAATCATGTCAACCTTCTAGGAACACACATTTACAACATAAATATAGAGATTTTAAAGTTTCTTTATCCGAAACCAAGAATATTTCTCACAATATTGCTAAGGTACTATCGCATGACAAAATTTCTCCCAAGTATCAGTCATATATATGTAGTTCTTTCCTTTCTTACTGAACCGAAAATTTATAATCAAACAATCTTACATAATTGTTGGAAGGAGGCAATGAAAATTGAATTGAATGCTTTAGAAGCTAATAGGACTTGGGATTTGGTGCAGTTGTCTAAGGGAAAGCAAATAATAGGTTGCAAATGGATTTATTAAACTAAGCTCAAAGCTGATGGAACTCTAGAGAGGTATAAGGCAATGTTTGTTGCTGAGTGTTATATTCAGCAATCAGGAATTGATTACTTAGATACTTTTATCCGCGTAACAAAGATTACTACCATGAAAACTCTTTTGGCTAGAGCTGCAGTAAAGAAATGGAACTTACATTAGTTGGACATTAATAATGTCTTCTTGCATGGGGAGTTATAAGAGGAATACATGGATCTACCCAATAATTTCGTACTACTAATCCAAATAATGTTTGAAAACTAAACAAAAATTTGTATGGCTTAAAACAAGCGAGTTGAAAGTGGAATGAAAGATTGTCTACTTCTTTGGTTAGTCAGAATTTTTAGTAAGCTTCTTCTGATTCTTCTTTATTTTTTAAGGGCACAGGTACTAAATTTATAGCTTGGACTGTATATATTGATGATTCATTCTTGCAAGTGCTGATATTGAAGATACTAATAATGTTAAGAAATATCTTCGATCATATGTTCAAAATTAAAGATCTAGGAGAATTAAAGTTTTTTTAGGACTAGAAGTATCTTGTTCTAAAAATGGAATCAATCTCCTTCAAAGACAGTATACGTTGGATTTGTTAAATGATACAGGTTTTCTGGGCCACTGTTTCAACTCTATAGTTTCCACTACCAAGTTATCCAAAATAGAAGGGCAAACCCTTTCTGATATCACAGGTTATAGAAAGCTTGTTGGAAAGTTGATATATCTTACTAATACAAGGTCGAATATTACCTATGTTGTGCAATAATTATCTTAATTTCTTGCAGCTCCTACTAAAATTCATTTAATTTCTGCTCATAAGGTACTTTGGTATTTGAAGGGTAGACCAGACAAGGTTTTTTTGTCCGCAAAAAGTGATTTGAAAATTAAAGCCTTAAGTGATTTGTCACAATTTAGGATTGTGAACAAGAATATTGAGAAAGATTTAGAAGAGAATTGAGAAAGGGTTTAGGGTTTTCAGAAAATTTCATTCATCGATTTCGCGAAAGAATGTTTTTTTACATTGTTTTGCATATATAACTAATATTGGACACAAATAAATTAGTTTTTTTACACGTGTCTTAACTGATTGTCCTTCCCAACAGTTCTCCTTTCCAGCTAGCAGTATTTCTTTACATCTCACCACCAGTTTTTTGCTGATATATATATATATATATATATATATATATCTACTGGGTATTTGTTGGGTCTTTATAATGGGATATGCTCTTTCGTAGCCCATTTTTCCCCATTGCTTTTGTATCGATACTTGAATCTAGGGTATCGATACTGTAAGTAGAGTATTAATACTATTCATTTTGGATGGTTAGATTCGACTTCTTTAAGGCCCGTAAGAGTTAAGAATGATCTGTAATGGTAGAACTTGGTCCGTGAGAAACGTAAATTGCCAAAAGGACCCTAGAACACTCGTAAAAATGGGTAAGACTGAAGTAATCATAGTAGGCTTAATACGTTCAATTACCTTCATTAGAGCACATAATGAGTATCTAAGAACGAAGGATCATTACAGAGGATGTACCAACAAGAGGTATCACGAATTAATTAGATTATGAAATGGCGGAGTTACATACTGCAAGAATATCAACAAATGGTGAACGTACTATTGTCCCTCCAATTTGAGGGCGAATTGAGGGAAAGCATAGTAAGAGAGAGACTATAGTATCGCTACTCAACATTGAACTAATGTCAGGTATCGAGCCAGTAAATAATACAACAAGCGAACATCATAATCAATATCGTCGTAAGACATGAAACACATAAAGACATAAATAACTAAAACACCCTTAAGTGTTAACGAACATAATAGATCAGCTTAATAAGTTATCATGAATAATAGACTAATAAACCTTCGTATAATGTTCTAGATGAGAGACTGACTAAGATAGCAGCTATTGAGGAGTTGACCTCATTTTAGTGTGTCGAGCTACACTAGTGTGTAGTTAGGCTACCTTAGTTGTCCTAGTAGGACATTGTCAGGGTTGGATGGCCTTTGAGCCCTCAGTTATGCATGTGTAATTGCATCAGTCCAGTACAATAGAGGTCCTTAAAGGTTGGCCTGATAGCTATGTGAGACCGAGCCAATTGAGCTAGAATTGTAACGATGCTATGTGACACTGAGTTCTTCTTCTATGATCTACCTGATGGCTATGTCAGACCAGGGGATCATTCTACATCATAGTGGAAATTTCATCGATACTATATGACAGTGGGTTCCCTCAGATAACTAATGTATGGTGGCTATGTGAGACCATATACTAATAGTGTTACATTTAGATAATGCACAACGGAGTCAATGTTGCATTCAGATGATGCACAAGAGTATCAATATCACATTTAGATAATGTATAACATTTAGAGTCATTAGGGTTAGAGACCCTTTATTTGTGTACTCATGGAGATACCCTTAACAAAAAATTAAGGGGGGAGTGTGAGACTCCTACTTCAATGATAGAATAATTAAACCCTAAGTAAGCAACACTTGATTAAGATCATGGTTTTTGTGTGTTTTTAGACCCAACACTAATTTCATGAAAATCTAAGAAGAAACAAATTGTTTCTCGTTCTTCTAGCGAAGCAGAATATAGAGCCATGGCCATTGTTACTAGTGAAATATAATGGTTCCGGTTTCTTCTTAAAGATTTAAGTGTTCTTTTGCTTCAACAAATCTTTATTGTGATAATATTTCTGCTATCCGAATTGTAAGAAATCTAGTCCAACATGAAAGAACAAAACACATAGAGATTGACTCACCTAATCAAAGAAAAAGTTCAACAATGAGTAGATGCCTTATTGGCCCTTTCTTCTTATAATCAATTGGCTTCTTGTTTTACCAATGCTCTTTCAAAAGCCCTAGGCCTGTTTAAGCGTTCTATTCTCAAGTTGGGCATTCAGAATGTGTATGCTCTTATTTGAGGGGGGTAACAAGAAAATGTATAGCTGGTAAGTTAGTTAGTTAGTCGGGTAGAAGTTAGTTAGTTAAAACTATTGTAAGGATTATATATGTGTGTAAAGGATTAATAAAAGTGCATTACAATTTTACGTTTCTATAGAAAACAGTTTTATCTAATAAATATTCAACAATTTCTCTATTAAAAAAACTGTAGTGTTTTATTTTTGGGCTTTGTTGTGAGTTCTAGTAAAATAGATAGATAATTTCTTTTGTTTAAAAAAAACTGATAGTTCAAATACTAAATGCGTAATTTACGCTTATTTATTTTATTCTTTCCTTCTCATTCAATTTATTTCTTCAATTATAGCCAACTTTATTATGGAAAATGTTTATGAATTGTGTAATTTATAATTCAAATACTTAATACTATTATGAGAAAATATTTTTAAATAAATAAAATATATATTTAAAAGTTACTTTTGAAAATATAAAAGATTACGTGATATGAACGAAGTAAACATATATTTTTATTCGAATATTCTTTAGATAAGTACATGAAGTAACCAGTGATGGACACATGATCTTATGTTAAAGGCAGACTTGAACTTATAAAATTCTAGCGGGGTGAATATGACCTTGTAAAATTTTAGGGAGAACGAAAACATATTTTCAATAAAAAATATATAAAAAAATATAAAATACATAATAACTTAAAATTTTTAAAAGGGGAGAGCAACCGTCCCACCCACCCCGCCTAGATCCATCCATAGAAATAACCTGCAGTAGAAAAATAATTTTGATATAAAAATATATATAATCTATTGGTTTTTTTTTTACCGTAGAAGTACTTTTGAGAAGCAATGAAAGGAGGGCCCGAAGTGTTAGGATTTGGGATTATAATGGAAAGAAGATATTTAAAATAATATATATATATATATATATTTCGACTTAATCCTAACTGGCACCAGTGGTCTAGTGGTAGAATAGTACCCTGCCACGGTACAGACCCGGGTTCGATTCCCGGCTGGTGCAATGCTTGAAGCGATGATGATAATTGCGTTTCTAGGTGAGAATTGGGTTCTCACAGTCTTCTGATTTCAAGACGAATCACAAGCGCATCCGAGCTTCTTTTTTCTATTATTCTTTGTTTTTTGAAATTTGAAGTGCAGTTTGACGAAAAGAACAATGCAAGTGTTGTGCCAATTTCAAAGAGACCCGTTTATTAACAATCAAATTCGTTTCAAAATTTCCCCCAAAAAAAAACAAATTCGTTTCAAAATATTCAATCTTTAATGGCTTCTCTCCTACAGAAACCTGCAAATCCATGGCTTAACTCAAACAAATCCACTACCGAAAACACCTATCTTCAATAACAAAATAATTTCCTCTCTCTTTACGGTTAAATTATGAAACACTTGAGCACGTCCTCTTCTTCTGTTGGGCAGCGCAAGCGATGTGGACTGTGGAGTGCCTTCATCTTTAACAACTGCCTCAAACCTCTGGGATTCTAATTCTTTGCCCACTGCTGGTTGCATACTAAAATTATGCACGGAGCTGCTGGGAGGCAAGAGTAAAGCATGCCACCACCAATTAATTGCCAGGTTGCTCAAAATTTCAACCAAAACTGGATCCTGGATGTCTTTCAAGTGAGCTTCAACAAACACAATTTTAAATTGTAATTAAAAGTTACTTCAACAAACACAAGTTTAATATCTATATCTGTCGGAGTGTCGATAGGCACTAGTGGTCTAGTGGTAGAACGGTACCAGCCATGATACTGACCCGGGTTCGATTACCAGATGGTGCACTGTTGTAGCGGTGATGATAATTGCGCTCCTATAGGTGGAGGTTAGGGTTCTCCGCAATTGTCTGATTTCCAGACGACGACTCCCAAGTTCTTTCGAGCTATATGACCTTTATTTTTTCATTGCAACGACCAAAAGCTTGAGTGCATGTTGCATGAGGTGTTGAGAAAAAAACTAATGGAACAAAGTAGTTTACACTCTAAATCAGTAAAATTTTATTTCTTTAAAATGTATTCATTTAAATCTATTTTTCATCAAACTAGTTAATTGAGTATAATTAAAAAATAATATTTTGACATACAAATCAAACTGCTTGTAAATAAATTGCACATTTAATACTATGTGAATCAATTGCGCATCGGTGTCATATAACCGTTTAGACATATAGTGCCCTTTTTATACCAGTACATATATTGTAGAACACATCAATATTGTGCCTATAATCAGGATATATCACACTACTATATCATATGTGCAGACAACATATCACATATGTGTCATAAAATGTATCATGTCCTCTGTGTAGTGTACACGAATATAACTATAAAAGATCGATCGATAAACACTCCTCCTCATGGTATGTCAATCATACTATCAAGTCTCAAAGTACATACAATGGACTTTTCATATCAAATCATATATCATTCATTTATCAATAGTATCCATAGATACCAACATGTCCAAATATCATATAAAAGTGCATTGGACAGTTCATACCTGAAATCATCAATAATCCTTTTATTACAATATCATATAAAAATTGGGTACTTCATACCCAAAATCATTCATAAATCATTTCAAAAAAATCATTATAAAAATATTTCATGATTCAAATTTTTTTTCTTTAAAAAACATCAGAGGTTGACTTATTGCAAGTCTTCCTTGTATCATATCATATAAATATATATATATAAAGTAGGTAAGAATGCACTCACCTAGTAATGCCTCACTAGCTAATCTTTCTATCGATATAAACGTCACTTTTGTACTTTATCCTTGTTTTTAAACTTGCTCGAATCTTGATCACAATCTAAATGTGACTCAATTACATAAAATACACATTTCAAAGCACATGTTAATACCTTCACTAACATGACAGACGCATATAGCATAAAATTGCTAAAAGTGTAATTAATGCATATTCGATATAAACTCCATTTCACATGATCAATGCTAACTTTAACGCATAAAAATATAAATTTAATTCTCCTAATATTAGTATTCATTCAATTGTTCCATATTCATCTCAATTTCACATTCTTGACTAATAAAATGAATTCGTTTATAATTTATTCCAACATTTTCAATTTATTCAAAATAGTCCATTTACCATTTAACTTCACATGCAAGCTTCTAAAAGCATAATTAAACATTCCAACATTTAATTTAAATGTTGTAATCAACTATTGCACAATTTTCATTTCAAACTTATATTTTTCATAATCTATGATTGAGTCCCTATACTTGTAAAAACTTCCAAATCAATCCAAATTAACATTCTAATATCAAAATCATCATTCTAACATTTAATTTCAGTATAGCACATCAACCTTTAAAGAATTTCATCTCAATTCCTCAATTTTCTATATTATGAAAAGTCCCTATAACTTTACAAAGTTCCAAATTGGTCCAAACAACTTTCCAAAGCATGTAGAATCATTCATACATCATTTCTAACCCTTGTATAATTTTTCTATAATTTTCCCCTATTTTGCCTTCATGGTCGAACCTAATAGGGTAAAATTGCATGGGTTCTACTTTGATTCAATCATGAATTCAAGCTACAAACATCATTTTCATGCTTCTACAATCATTTCCATATCAATTTAAATCCAAATTCAAATATTATCTACAAACCATAACCATAGTCGAATTTAAAATCATCATTTCTACATGTTTTTAATCATCATACATGCCTGGAAAAAAACTCTACTACATCATTAACATCAAAATCCAACCTTAAATCATTAAATTTCAACTTCTCCTTCATCCACCAATTTCATTAAATCAATGATCCAAGCATGAAAACCATGAAATATTTTTACCAAGTGATACGGAATTTGATGTAGATTAATTCTCTATTTCATGTCTTAATCCAAAAATCTAATAAAATGGATTAAAAATGAAAAATAAATTTTTCCTTACCTTAGCTATGAAGGCCACGGTTTTGAGGAGGAAGATGGTTGATTTCTCTTGATTTTTCTCATAAAAATCTTTCACTTGGCTTTAAACTAATTCAAATGAATATAAAATTCATTTTATGCAAAAATACCTTTTTACCCTTAATGAATCATGATAATTACACCATGCCATTATTATGACATTGTTACTTACATCATAATTTCAATATAAAATAATATATTATTAGCTTCTATATTTTCCCTTACACTTTTCCAGAAATTCAATCTTACCACTTTAATCCAACGGTCTCAATTTAACAAAGAATATAAATCGTAAATCTAATGATCCATGTTAAATTCTACTAATTTAAATTATGGAAATGATATTATTAACCTTATACTATCATCCTTCAAAAATTTCTTGAAAATCTGATTCGATCTGATAATCCGAATTTTTTATTGGACTTTATCGCTTTATAGCTTTTTATACAAATTCCGGATAAAAAATATAGAACTCATGAAAACGCCATTCTTAGGGGTGAACTATTTCATTTACATGATAAAATTTCTTCTTGAGAAAATTACCACTTTGGTCCCTAATTGTTTCCCAAGTTAACACTTTAGACACTAAACTTTCAAAAATTACATTTTGGTCAATAATCCAAAATTTGGGATATTACTTTGCTTGTGCAAATTGAGTTCAACGAAGTAACTTTTAATATGATCAACTAAATTCATAGTTTCTTTAGTTTTAATCTGAGCTAGTGTCTCCCTTCACATGAGGGTAAAATTTAGTTTTTTTTAACCAAAGCTTAATCCCTATTTTAGTCCTTCTACTGCAGTAAAATTTACTTTAGCCCTTTTACAAATTTTAAATTAATTTTACCATCAGCTTTCAATTCGTATCATTTTAACCCCCTAAAAAGTTTCCTTTAAGAAGAAAATGATATAGCCTAAAAATGATACATTTAAAAGGAACTTTTAAAAAGGTAATTACAAATGAAAAACCCCAATTGATTAAACCACACGATATTTTCACGTTGGAAATTGTCAAAGGAAGTGATAACAAATTGGAAGTTGAGGGACTAAACTAAGCTAAAAATAATAATAAAAGGTTAAAATAAAATTTCAAGAATTAAGCCTTTTTTTGGTTAGTAGAATTAAGAAAATAAGCATATACCAGGTAATAAAATTCAGCTTTGCATTACTAATATATAATTTTACTCCCCAAAAAATAAAAATCGAAAGTGTCTATACAATGGATGACATAAATATAGTTACACATATATGAATGTAAACCTCAATGATATGATTCTTAGTGAAAAGACAGAACAATTTCATACTAATATTTAGTTTTTAAGGATTATCCGAAGAGCTATGTCGACAAAGAGCACCTGCTTCAATGAAACAATTAAATTGCTTCTAATTAAACTCCCCTAACTGCATTTGTTGTAATGTTAGCAACAATTGCTTTGCAACTGTAGTCCAAGTCCAACATCATATGAGTTAGAGGAAAGATTATTAGATTAAACGTACGAATGACAAATGCATTCGGATTAAACGCGTTTGTTTTGTCCGTCAACTCGTCTTTCTTTGGCATATCATTAACGACAGTGTATGCGAAAAAAAAAGAAGTTCGAAAGAGAAGATGGAACTCACGGGAATTTAGAGACGATTATGTGTTCCACAACACCATTGGCATTTTCTAGGCTTTCAGCAACTTCAGCTACAAATAGGTTAGAAAAGAAATTAAAAACAAAATTCAAAAGCACAATTTATTTTTCTTGAAACCTACCAAGACTGGCTATTGGAGATGTAAAGATGACATCGATAATGTTATGACCTTCTTTGGTGACTAAAGGAAAGTCTCCCCCAAGCGGATCGGCTTGTCCCATAGATGGTCTCCTCCATACCTTAACAAATCATTAAAGTAGAAAAATGACTTCACACCATCTTCAATGCAAATTTCCCATATGAATAACTCTTTTTAAGTACAACTATAAAACCAAAACGCTAAGCTAGCTTCTTATCACTGGCAAGCGGGTTTAGAGAAAAGGTGTAACACCTCCAATTCCGGTCTAGTAGTTTCGAGTTTACCCGAGAGGTAAGTGGATCTCGTGAAATTTATAATTAAAGTCGTTGGGCCGAGTGTGGGATTAATTGGGCTGGAATTGGGCCTAATTAGCCACACAAAAAAAGATT